ACGTGAGTGGCGCGGTCGCGGCGTTGATATCATCCAAACAATCGATACTTTGCGCGCCGTGGGGCAAGTTGTTGCGCGCCCGTTGCAATGCTGATTTGAGGGCGAGGCGGAGCGGCGCAGGCATCAACGCATCTCATTGCTCTCCAGTTTCCCTGCAATATATCAAACATATCGCTGTCGTCATTTCCCCGCTTGGGCCGGGGGCGGACCCCGTGCCACTGGCGCGTGAATGGCGCCAGTCCGTGCGAGGATGCTGCTGCCAAGAGCTCTTGCAACATCCGAGCCCGTGCGCGCGTGGTCGAATGCGCCGACCCCATCGATGCTTAGAATCATTTTGTCCGGGCCACTATCCGACAGGAGTTGCTGCGAGTGCGTGGCCGCGCTCGCCCCGCATCTACTTTGTATCCAACATTGTTCGGCCAAGCTGCCGCCCTGAGTTCTGCGTGGAATTCCCATGCCAATGCTTTCGCCGCAAGCCGTCGGGAGGTATTGCCGCGCGAGATGCCCCGGGTCCTTGAAAAGGGTTTCAGGGCCGCGGTGAGGGGCGACGCGAGCATGGCGCCCCTGATGAGTGGAGGGCTGTGCTTTGGCGACTCTGTTGGCAATTTCGCACAGGACGTCAAATGCCGCATCGTCTGTGAGGCATATTGTATAATGTCCGTAGCAGCTGCCCCGTGGCCCCCCGCCCGGGCCTCTCCTGGTCCGTCGAAGCACCGCGCCGAAGATCTAGGTCCAAGTCCACTGCTATATTCGAATCGAAGTTTTCCGATGCTCGTGGGAGGAACCCACGCACCTCCGAAGGTCGCAAAAATGAGTCCACGAGCTCATTGAAAGTAGTCGTGGTCCCTGGCGCCAAATCCTTTTGAAGTGAGCGCCCGGGCAGCGTGGCTCAGTTCTCCTCGTTTGAGTAGCCCCGTCGCTTTGGTGTTTTTTTCCACATTCGCAGCTTCTTTCGTTGGTGTGGGTCGGCACTGTCTGTCGGGGGACGGCGGCGAGCTGCGCCGCAGTGGGCTTTGCTCTGTAACTCATCCCAGCGCACGGCATTAAACAGAGCGACGCATTGGCGTAGGCCCCGCTCGCCTGCTCGACTACCTCGGGCCGTCGGGAGGAGCGACATGCGCGGGGGCAACAAAAACAATACCCAAACTCGCACGCAATAACCTTCACCATTGTCGCCCCGGCCCCACCGCAACTGCGCCATCCCCATCTCGACAAGGTTCTGGGTCAAGATCCTCGGGAAGGCACCCCTGGTGCACTTGGATATCGACTTGGAGGTCAGTATTGCGATGTTAATTTCTGCCCGGGTGTCAATCGCATCAATATGTCTCCAGCCGTCTGGAAGCCTGGCAACTTCGTTCCGTTCTCACAGGTGGGTGTTCGGGCAAGGGGTCGGAGGTTGGGCAAGGAAGCCCATGTCGGGGTAGCGTGCGCGCCGGCCCGCCTCGCCCACCCGGGCGAGGGGGCGGCCGCTTGCACTTCCGCCGCTGCGCGCCGGTTAGGTGCTTAGGTACCACTCTCGTTCGCCCACCCGTTGCCCGCTCGGGCTGGGGGCGCTGGCTTCGGTAGCAATTTTTGACTTTTCAAGGCGCGCTCGCTGCTGTCTACTTGACGGCGGTGGCTACCCTTGTCCCCGCCGCCCTGCCCACCCGGGCAGGGGGGCCGTCGCTCTCACTTTTGCCGCCGCGCACAAATTAGGCGCCCCCCCCCGCCTGCCTCCCTCCGCTTGCTGGACTGGGTTCGAACGCTGGCTTCGGCCGCAAGTATGGCTGGCCAAGGCGCGCCCGCTGCCGTTGACTACGACAGCGGTGGCCGCCCTTGTCCCCCATCGGCCCGCCCTGTTCACCTGGGCAACGGGCTGCCTCACACTTGCGCGCCGCCTCGCGCCGGTTAGGTGCCTCCCTTTTCTCGCCCTACGCCCGGGGGATCGCCCCTGCCGCCCTTCCGCCCCCTGGGCGCCGCCGCAGGTTTCCAAGTCCTCTGGATGCCCTGGTCGCGGCGGACTCGCCCAGCCCACCCGGACAGCGGGGCTCCCCTCTAGTCCCCGCTGGGCGAAGTGAACGCGCTGTCCCCCGGCGCCGCCGCTGCTGCTCAGCGCCGCCGCCCCGCTTGTGCGTTTCTGCAGGCGGGGCGTCCTCCTCCCTGTTCGCTTCTGCCCTGCCCGTTCGCTCCCCCTCCTTCCGCGCGCCGCCGTGGTGCAGACTGGCTGCCTGCAGCCGCCGCGCTGGGGCCCCGGGTTTGGTCTTGCCGCCCGCCGCCTCTGCAGCCCAGCATCTTGCTGGGCGCACCACACCCGCGCTCCCACATGGGGGACGCGCGGCCATCAACTAGTGGCATAAGCACTGAATGCATCGCACGCTTGACCCACTGGACTTATCCTGGTACCCGCACTGCGCTCCGCCGCCGGTGGACCCCCGGCGCAGCAGCCGTCGCTGACCCTGCTCTCGGGGCAGGCCGCGCCACGCGCTCAAACTGTGACCTCACCCTGAACTGCCCTCGCTCCTCCTCCCCCTCCTTCGGCCGCCTCCCTGCTCTTTTTCCTCTCTTTCTTGCATTGAAACACAATTCGCTACAACGGTGCCCACGTTTAGTTAACTCTTCCGCCAGCGCCGTTACTCTGCCTAGCCGCCGACGCAAAACATGTATGTAAACGCGTCGGTTTACATACATGTATAGATGCATGTATGTATGAATGTATGTATGTATGTACGTACGTATGGATGTAGGCATGTGTATGTACGTATGTACGTACGTACGTATGTGTGTTTGTATATATACACACATAACACTATATATATATATACATATATAAGAATATATATATATATATCACTATGTGCACGCATGCGCGCGCGCTTCGCGCGCGCCTTGGTGTCTGTCGAGTCAACAGACCCAGGGGGTCGTTACGTGAGTGGCAGAAGAAATTGGTGACGCGAAGCGTCGTGGGGGCGTCCTTGGACGTCTGGGGTCTCCTGGGGCCTCTTGAGGGGCCTCCTGGGGGCCTCCTGGGGGCCTCCTGGCGGCCTCTTGGGGCGGAAGGCTCGAGCTTGCGGTTCGTGGTCCCCCCTCTGGGCCCCCTCTTGGGCCCGTCTTGGGGCCCTCTTGGGCCATCTTGGGCGCCTCTTGGGCCGTCTTGGGGCCCTCTTGGGCTGTCCTGGGGCCCTCTGGGAAGCGTCTTGGGCCGTCTTGGGGCGGTCTTGGGCGCCTCTTGGGCCGTCCTGTAACGTCGGAAAACCCAAAAGACAACTTTGTTGAACATGTACGTTTTACGAAGGGAATGGGCCAATTCTTGCGCCTAGGGGCCCTCTTGGGGTGACGCATTGCTTGGAGTGCTTCTTGGGGCGTCCTTGGGGCCGTCCCTTACGGACTCCTGGGGGGGTTGGTCGTCCTGCGGCCTCTTGAGGTGGCCTCTTGAGGGGCCTCCTGGGGGCCTCCTGGCGGCCTCTTGGGGCGGAAGGCTCGAGCTTGCGGTTCGTGGTCCCCCTCTGGCCCCCTCTTGGGCCCGTCTTGGGGCCCTCTTGGGCCATCTTGGGCGCCTCTTGGGCCGTCTTGGGGCCCTCTTGGGCTGTCCTGGGGCCCTCTGGAAACTTCTTGGGCCGTCTTGGGGCGGTCTTGGGCGCCTCTTGGGCCGTCCTGTAACGTCGGAAAGCCCAAAAGGCGACTTTGTTAAAAATGTACGTTTTACGAAGGGAATGGGCCAATTCTTGCGTCTAGGGGCCCTCTTGGGACACATGTTGGAGGCTTCTTGGGGGCCGTCTTGGGGGCGTCCTTGGACGTCTGGGGTCTCCCGGGGCCTCTTGAGGGGCCTCCTGGGGGCCTCCTGGCGGCCTCTTGGGGCGGAAGGCTCGAGCTTGCGGTTCGTGGTCCTCCTCTGGGCCCCCTCTTGGGCCCGTCTTGGGGCCCTCTTGGGCCATCTTGGGCGCCTCTTGGGCCGTCTTGGGGCCCTCTTGGGCTGTCCTGGGGCCCTCTGGAAGCTTCTTGGGCCGTCTTGGGGCGGTCTTGGGCGCCTCTTGGGCCGTCCTGTAACGTCGGAAAGCCCAAAAGACAACTTTGTTGAAAATGTACGTTTTACGAAGGGAATGGGCCAATTTTTGCGTCTAGGGGCCCTCTTGGGACGCATGTTGGAGGCTTCTTGGGGCCTCTTGGGGGCGTCCTTGGACGTCTGGAGGCCATCTTCAGCATCTCGGAGCCCTCTTGGAGGCCTCTTGGAAGTTTCTTGGGCCGTCTTGGGCGCTTCTTGGGCCGTCTTGTCTGACTGGGGAGGCCTCCGGCAAGCCCCGACGAGCCTCCGGCCCCCCCGGGGTGCACATTTGCGGTCGGGGTCCCGGCCCCGGGCCCCCGGACCCGGTGCGCCGATATATGTATAATCGGATCTCCTGCAACGGCCAGCGCCGACCAAGGCGGAGGGGAATCCACACATCTGTAGGATCGTACACAAATAATATGTGATTACTACGCGTTAGATTTGAACAATCTCGCGGCTTGCACCCACGAGCCTGGAAAGGTGCAGCTCTGCACCCCCACAGTTGGACTTTCCACGGGATGGAAGCACACATGTCCGACGAGGGGGAGGGAACGTATTCAATGTGTCGGATCTACTACGATCCGCCACAATTACGGGCACGACACGACGTGTTTCCCAAAATTCGATATGTCGACCCGCCTAATCGAAAATGTCGGCCCAGGCAACTTAATATCCCTCGTCGTATTCAAAAGTATTGTTGTATGCGCACGCGCGCGTTAGAGATCACAACACGTAACGCGTTCTTCATGTATGCATTTAGCAGATCGAATGTGTGTCGCGGTGCGCGTTTGCTAAGATGACGCTGTGCCCGTACCTCTATCATCCCATATTCCTCGTCTGCATTTGTGTTGCAGTGGCATCGCCTTGTGGCAATTCTGCTCCGCTGTGCAAGTACAAGTAGCGCATGCCAGCTGAATGCGAAATCCTCCAACTAACATGAAGGGGATTGTCGGAAACCTACCACCTTCTCGCAACTATTACAACCACTTGCAACAAGGGGCAACACAGCAGCCCGAAATTCAGAAACAAATCGCAGACATGCTTGACTCAAGACTCACACGACAGGCCGAACATCACCAAGATGACAATCGCACAAACGAATCCTGATCCATCATGTGCAATCATCACTCCTGGCAAACGAACTTGTACAAACTAGAACCAACCAGCATGAGTATTACCAGTTTGCTGTTCAAGCAAAGTGGTCCTTAATACCAACCGCACGTGCACCTACATTGCATAACCAATGTATGACGTATGATGAAGCGAAACTGCAGCAACTGCAAGAGGTGGGCTACAATTGGATCCGTTCCTGGACTACCGCCACACACCGATGGTACCTCGAAGCCATCTATTGTTACGATGCTGGTGTTGTCGACACGGGCTTTCTATCATGCCTTCCCGCACGCTCTCCTCATAACCCTCTGTTGTCGAATACGATAGCTTGGGAATTTGTTTTGCGCATGCGCCGGCCATCTCCAACATGGTAAGCTCGCCCTCATTTCCCTGGATCAGCAGGATAACAAGCCTTCGACGGCGCAACCAAATTGCAATGACAATCACATCATTAACCCTGTCGGCTCCGCAAACATCTTCATCCTTGCACGCTCACTCAGTGAATTCTCTCACGGAAAGTTTGAACAAGACGCTTAATCTGAGATAATATATCAAATCATTCCCCGCTTGTGGGCTCTGTTTATGCTCAGATTATCGCAAGCGTCGAAGTTCTGATATGAGAAACACTCACGACATGGCAATCGAACTCATGTAACCAAATGTCCCTGATAATATTGCCCTGGAGATCCGCCATCGTGCCTCTGGGCATGGAGTGGGCGTGTCCTCAAGTCCTTTGTCGAATCCCTTTAGCCTCGGTTTTAGGGGCCAAGACCCCACATTGCTCAATCTCTCGGAGCTTCCCGCGTGCCCGGGGCGTCTTCACGCATGACCCATTCGGGTCCAGGAGGTTCCCAAGATGGGCCAAGAGAGCCCCAAGAGACTCCCAAGATGGTCTCAGAGGGCTTCGAGACGTCAAGATCGCTCCAAGACGCCCTTGATGGCCCCAAGACGGTCCACGAGGCCTCCAAGATTTCTCTACAATTTTTGGTCTTCTCGCCTTTTCGACTTTCGACGCTCGAAGACAGCCCAAGAGGCCCCCAAGATCGCCCCAATTCGGCCCAAAAGGCCGCCAAGACGGCCAAAGAGGGCGCCCAAGACGGCCCCGAGACGGTCCCAAGAGGGGGACCACGCACCGAACATTCGAGCTTTCCGCCCCAAGGGGCCCCAGGAGGCCCCGCGAGGGTCCCAAGAGGCCTCCAAGAGGCGCAAAACAGGCCCAACGAGGCCCCCAGACCAGCGCGAGAGGCCCCAAAACTGTCTCCAGGAGGCCCCCGAGAGGCCTCCAGCGACATCCCCAACGAATATCCTAGAGGCCTGTGACCCACAACCCAAGCACGGTGGCGGGCTGGGCCGAAGGCCGTTCGATCCGCCGCCCTCTGTTGATGCATCACAGGAGTGCCTGGCGTGCTGAACCCTACAGCTTCTGGTTTTGGTTCTCTTCCTCACAAAACTCTCCCCGGGGCTTCGGCCCAGCGCGCCGCGCCGGCCACCTGGAAAGCAGCCGAACATGTACAGGTCGTGGGTTTTCGGGCCGTGGATGGCGTCCAAGACGGCCAAGAGACGGCCAAGAGACGGCCAAGATGACCTCCAAGTTCGCCCAAGATGGTCCAAGATTGCCTCCAAGACGGCCCAAGAGGGTCCAAGATTTCTCCAAGTCCGCCCAAGAAGCCACAAGGCAGCCCAAGATGGCCCTGGACGGCCCCACAGGCCTCCAAGACACCCTCCCCTCCAGGAGGGCCAGGAAAAGGCCAAAATAATATATAGATGCCCCTTAGGTTTTTGAAGGATTATTGCATTTGCTTCTTTTCGGCCTTCCGACAGCCTAAGACGGCCCAAGAGGCCCCCACACAAGGTCGCCCAAGGAGCCTCCAAGATGGCCCCATGAACGCCCAAGAGGTCCCCAAGACGGCCCCAAGAGGGCCGCAAGACGGCCCAAGAGGCATCCAAGACGCCCAAGATGGCCGCCAGGACGGCCCTGAAGCGCCCCAAGAGGGCCCCAAGTCGGTCCAGAGATGCCCCCAAGATAGCTTCTGTCAGCGTCAGACGGGCCAGGAACACCCGAAGCCTGCCAAAGCGGCCCCCAAGAAGCCTCGAGATGCCCACAAGAGGCCCAAGGAGGCCCCCAACAGGCCTCCGAGAGGCTCCCAGGAAGCTTCCAGGAGGCCCCAAGAGTGCCCCAAGAGGCTCCCTAGAGACCTCCTCGTCCTACTCCTCCTCTTCCTCTCCCTCTTCCTCCGTCTCCTGATCCTCCATCTCATCCTCCCCCAAGTGCTCCCCCAAGAGTTTCCAGAGCGGCTGCGGGAACACATAGTCCGACAGCTTGGCCAAGCTGGGACCCAACGTCTAGCCGCAGAGGTGCTTCGCAAAAAGGCAAGCGGCGGCGGTGATTCGCCGCAAGCGTCTTCGAAAATACAGTTCAGGGTTCCTGGGGGGATAATGCAGAGTTTCCCAGCAAGTCTCAGCATACAAAATGTAACGTACTAACAAGAAAGGAGGGGGAGTGGCAGAAGGATGAGGATGAGGAGACAGGGCTTGCGAGGAAACGCGACCGAGACGTCCTCGCTGAGCTCGCCTGGAGCTCGGCGTGTGCTGGCAATACTCTTTTTAGCTCGGGCCTGGCTGTGTTGCTCGGAAGTTGATGTATCAAATTCTGCCATCGGGGTACCCATCATCACGATGCCCTGCTCGCTCTGGCGGAGCCTTCTTGGAGGGGTCGGAGGAGCACGAAACCTGAGAAATAGTACGGTATGAAGATATCCTGCTCGCTCTGGCGGCAGGACATTCGGGCCCGTGGTGGAGACGTGGAGTCGGGCCAAAGAACACTTGACCCTGGGGATAAGAAAGTTCGGCCTCGCAGGCCCCCGCCGCCGATCAAAAGTGTTTTGACCGGAGATAACCAACTCTACGGTGTTAAGGGGGGGGTCTACATTATCATCCAGGACGCGCGGTTATGTATCGGCACATCAACGTGCTAAGCGGCTCCATCTCCCCATGAAATGCATCTCCCCCTTCATCGATTTATCAATCTCCATTATCCACTACAGTGCCCCCTGGCACGTTGAGGCATGGTACAATGCCAAGTGCTGTCTGGCAGGGTTTCTGCAATTTTCTGAGGGGCCCCCATTTCCTCGGGAAGCGCCTCGCTGCGTGCACCGGCCATGCTCCTGGAGCCCCAAGAAGCCCCCAAACCGCCCACAAGAGGCCTCAAAACTGCCTCCAAGAGGCCAGTGAGAGGTCTCCCGCGAGATTCAAACGAACATCCACCAAGCGTATAAACCACAAGCCAAGCATGGTGGCGGGACTTGCCGTGGGCAGCTGGATACGTCCATTCTGCACTCTGGGTTTCACATTCCTGCTCGTGATGCTTGGCCGGACTACAAGCCCTTACATGGTGTTACTCTCTAATTCGCACTGCGACGATGGGACAGCAGGCAATGATACAGTGGATAGGCGAATGTCGCAATGCATGCCCTGGACATGCCACGTCCTGCGCAACTTCAATTCCAAACATAACATGCAAAACCATCGATCCTACAAACTCACAACGCTAGCATTCAGCGAATGGGATCCGTCATGCTGACCACGACCGAAACTAAATATCAAGATTCCGCGGTGGGCAGAATCTGATTTCTCCCTCTGGCTCCCACGCCTTCCTTCCTGGCTGGGTGCGCCGCTGGGGCCTCCATCGTGACGCCGCGCGCAGGGGTGGTGGCCTCCATATTCCTGGTCACGCAGCGACAAAACCCACACTGTTGAAGTCGAAAGCAGAAAGGGAACACACTCAAACCACTGCCTCACCCTATCCCACGACTGTTTGAATCATCTGACCTGGAAATTTACTTGCACTCTCGCAGGGCTCGCAAGAAATCACACCATATACCTTACTGGAACACACGCGCGCTTCGGGCGCGATTTTGTTCTAGCCGAGGCAAAGTCAGCGTCGCGTCAATCAGCGGGTGGGGACGCACGCCATCCCACGACGATCGCCACATGGGAACACCTGCGCTATCGTGGGCACACACATATATATATATAGGTATGTATGTATATATGTGTATATATGCATGTATATACTAGAAACATCGCGCGCGCTCTGCGCACGCTCAAGTTCTAGGTAGGGTCATGATCATCGCCATCTTTGTCATCCCCATCCCCGTCATCTGCATCGTCATGGTCAATTACCACAGCAATCATCATTATCAACTTTACTATCAACATCGTGATCACCATCACCATCGTCATCGTACTTTTCAGTATCATCATCCGCATCATCAGCATCTTGTTGGTCGTCGTCGGTGTCGTCGTCGGCATAGTCATCGTCGTAATCATCAACGTCATCGCCGTCATCATCCCTGGTCCACTGCAATCCCCTTACCCTCCTCCTCTTCCCGCTATCCCTCTTCCCATCATCTTACACTCATCATTTTCCTCGTCGGCGTCTCCCTGAAAAAGGGATCCCTGTTCCTTCACCTCCTCCTCCTCCTCTTCTTCCTCCTCCTTCTCCTCCTCCCTGCCTTCCCCACACTTCGGTGTGTCCCTCTTTGTGTTCCTTCACCTACATCACCTCCTTCCTCCTCTCGAGCCCTCTTCATCGTGCGCTTCCCTTCCCTCCTCGTCCTCAGCATCCCTCCCCGAGCCAGAGAACCAGAGAAAAATATACTATTACAAGAACAATGTCCCTCGAGTCCCTCCTCCTCTTCCCCCTCTTCGTCCTCCTGATCTTCCTCCCCCTCCTCCTCCTCCTCCTCCTCCTCCTCCTCTCCCACCTCCTCTTCCTCCTCCTCCTCCTGTTTTTTTTCTCTCTCTCTCTCTCTCTCCTCCTCCTTGTCCTCCTCCTCTCGTCTCCCAACGCACCCAATGGGAGCC